GAGGGCTATGAATGTTATTCTAAGTAAAAGAATGACACAGGAGAGAAATCAAGGTACTGCAATATTAGCAACTTTTTCTTCACTGCTAAAAAAATGTAAAATATATGTGACTGTGACCAAACATCAGCTATCCAGAATGTTTAGGCTCTAAGTTTTTCTGAAGACTTAAATTACAGAAGCAGAATGGAAAGCTTGGGTTTGAGTTTATGTGTTGTGTGATTTCAGGCAAGTCACCACACAGAGTTTACATTTCAGCAATGCCCACCTTCTTCATCTGTTAATGGTGGATGAAGCGATCACTGTTCCACAGGGCTGTTATTAGGATTAAGTTAGACACTGTGTAAATCTCACTGCTTAATCAAATAATAGATTTTTTCATATTTCATATTTCATGTATCTATTTTCTACTAAGTTTTAAAATTTTAATAAATCTGTATAGGATGCTATATAAATATTGCACACATTCTTTTTCTTAAGATAACTTAATATAACTTAATAATTACTTAGGTTATAATTATCAATAGCTGTTATTAGATTAATCAGAAGTAAAAAAATGAATGCCCTTAGTTCCTAGTAAGATACCTCCTACTTTCCCCCAAATAACCATAACATCTTCATCCCATGAGTCCTTTTTTGAAAAAAAAAAAAGTATCATTGATCCCCATGGCCCTAGATCTCAAGGCAATGACAGAATCAGAATGATATCAGTCCCCTTCCTCCTGTTTCAGCATGCTCATTCCCTAGTGTACAGTGGATTACAGAAGGAATTCTGAATTATTAAGCCTAAAGCAGCACAAATTAGAAAAGACTAAATGGTACTTGACAGCATTTAAAATGCAGATGAGTTTTGCTCACATAAACACACAGAAGTGACTATGTTGTGCTAAGTTATCAAATTATGGAAAGAACATTGCAGAGATTAAAACGTTGCATAAGACAGAGAAAGCAGCATGAGTCAGGGGTTTGGGAAATATGAGTCAGACAGAAGGGAAGGAGCCAAACTGAGAGAATAAAGGCTTAAGCAGGGACTTAATGGACACCACTGTCATGTGGACACCACCACTTCCATTAGCTGCGAGAGAAAATCAAATACATGGCTCCGTCAACTGGGGATCAGTGTGATAAAGAGGCTAGGAGTGAGAACTGAACAAAGATTATACTGGATCATTTGAAGCACCTAACATTGCCAAAGTCAGCAAGAAAGGAGGGAGACCATGGACACATTTTTAAAAGACAAAGGAATCACCAAATATTTCCATTAGCTGTTCTTAATATATTAGAATGATGAAATGTGTTGTGATATTTTAGGAAGTACATTCTATTATTTTGTTCTCCTGTAATGTTAACATTGGGCTATGACTGCATAGAACAGAGCTACTTGCTACGGTATTCAATCCAAACTCTCTAATCCCACCCTTAAGGCTCCAAATATTGCTTATGCCTTAAGTGAACATTTTATGGGCACTGTCAGCCCACAGTGCACCAGGCTCCTCACACATAGCACCTTGAGCTGTGCTAATGCCAGATCTCTACTGTTCTTCTCATGTAGAGTAGCTGGGCCTCCTTGAAGTTTTCTAATGTGACCTGCCTTCTGAAAAACAGCCTTTAATCTCCTGCTGATCCCTGATTCTCATGTTGGGACTCCGCATCCACCTCCTCTGCTGAAGCATCTGGGGCTCTGCACCTCTGATCCAATTTCCTCATCCTTCGTAGGCTCTCTTTTGTGTACTCAGTTCCTTTACATTAGTCCCACTTACTGACATCTTGATAATTTTGCTGTGTTTCTCAGATCTTGCCTGTTACCCTGCCTTATAAATTTTAGTTGCATTGAGATAAAATTCTGATCCCATTTTCCTAAATTCTATGGACTAATTCTCACAAACAGTAATGACTCATTCATCCATTTGTTGAACAAAAGCTTACTGAAATCTCAGTATATGTCATGTACTATGCTAGGCACTAAAATACAGAAAGAAGACAGATTTCACCCTCAAAGACCTGGGAGCCTAGAGCTCAGGACTTATGTTATTGTCTGTGAAAACCAAGGAGCTTAACTATCAACAATAGGAAAGCCATGGTTGAACTGAATCATAAGGCACTGCTTTGGCCAATGCAGACAATATAGGAATTGGTTTCACAATATAGAATATGGTTTTGCTTATCAATATAGGAAACCAATTTTGCTTGCAAACCATGGAGGTGCCTGCCATAGGCCATGTTACTGCTTTACTATTAGTAATTTTTATATTGCATTGAATTTTCTGATATTTATGACAAACAGAAATGTACAAAAATAGAAAATACAAACATAGGAGTTTAACAATGTATATTGGTCTTGATAAGACTTTATATAGATGTAGAAACAAGCAATAATAGGATCTCCAATTATAATTTTTAAAATAAAATTATGCTATTTAAATAAACTAATGAATGCACATTATATTTGCAGACAGCTTAACGTTGTCTATCAGTAGCCTAAGCGTTAGACAAGCTGCTGAGAGAAGAGCAGAAGTATTCTAAACTGTAGTGCCAGCAGCCACATATAGAAGTTAATAGCTGCTTTCTGATCATATAAGTTACTTTTTTTGACCATTTCATAAATCCAAGTAAGTAGAAAGTGTACTTGATCCTGTAACAGCTTTGTGTGGCTTTTGATAGAGAAAGGGAAAAAATTATACTGCCAGTGAAGATAATCATATTTTGGTGTTCTGTTTGTTTTTATTAATTACCTTAACTTACTAAGTATTTTTATTATATGATCCTTCTTTTTATTTTATTTTTTAAAGAATACAAAGTAGTAAAAAGAAAAAAAGCATTAGATATAATATAAAATTTCATTAAACAAAGTAATAGGAATTCAACAATGGTTGCTCTGTTGCATAATGTTATCTTCCTATATGATCCTTCTGGGGAGTTAAAAATACCTGATTCTTAAGAAGGAGTAGCTCAAGTTTGTGTGCTTAAAACCCACTGAATGATACATAGATTCTATTGGACATGTTAGCCTATTTATCAAAGAGATTAGGCTGGGGAGATGGCTCAGTGGAATAAGCGCTTCCCTGGCAAGCGCAAGGGCTGAGTTCAATCCCCCGGTTCCGCAAAAAAAAAAAAAAAAAAAAATGACAAAGAGATTTAGGAAATGAACAGTGAAGAAATAGGAAGCCATCTGTAGGACATCAGGAATGTGATGAGTAGGAGGCAGTTGGTGAAGACAGTCTCAGAAAGAGAAGCCCCAGTCATCTGTGAGGCCTCCCTTAGAAAACGCAGCAGCCTGCCCAAGCCCTGGATCTTCTGCCAGCGTACACCACTTGCTACATCTGAATCGATCATTGCCCTATCTCTCAGGGCTATTATCACTACAAATGCTGAACGTGTTCCTGACATAAAGCCATAGGAATTCTGCTGTCATTTCTGCACTAGTGCGTCCTAAAGCTCTGGAAAAAAAAAAAAAAAAAAAGAAAAAGAAAAAAAGAAAGACTTTCATCAAGTGCATATGAAAAAATAATAAAGATACAAAAAGGAATGGATAATTTCATAGCAAGATTATTGCATCATTGCATTGTACCTAAAAAGGACAGTTTATAATTGCATGCAAGTGACAATTACAGAAATAGTACTAATGAATTTCAAAACAAAACACGAAGTGAACCAAGAACACTTAGCTGAACTTTAAAACCAGGTTCAAAGAAAAATGTAAGTAGATGCTGTAATAAGTTATTATCTGATGAACAGTCATACATCACTAAAGTGCTTGTCATCTCCTCTCCCTCTTTCTTGTGGAAAGAATCTCTCTTATCATTTCCACACCCAGCTAAGAGAAGCTGTTGTTTGAGGACAACCTTCTTACAACATGAACTTCCCTATGACATTGCATAATGTAAGTGCAACAATTCCCCATGAAAATACAAAAAAATAAAATAAAATAAAAGACAAAGCTAATACAGTGATGATCAAAGACCCCCTATGTCTGTCTTGATTCTCATGGAAAATTTGCCATACAGAAGTTACACTTTTTATGATATTGTTAATAAAGCTTAGACTCTTAAGTTGTTGGAGAATGCCAAAATGCTGTGAAAGTTTTATTTGTTCTGTTTAACTTAATGATATGGGAAATTTTAAGGAATACTGATATAAAGAAGGCAAGCTTGATTTTCATTTATAATTGTTTAAAATATGAATGCACGCACACAAATTCAAATCATATTCTATCCCAAACAAAGTAAATAATGCTTGATCATAACATAAAAAGCTAGTTTAAAGAATTTAGTTTTGAACTATAACTTGCCTAATTCTCAGGACACAGGGGCAAAATCTTTGGGTAAATATGTACTTTAAACTATACCAGTCTATCTCTACTAAAGGAGAATGATCAAGTTTGCAGTTTGAAATTTTCAGTGAAAAATTTATACATACATATTATTGTCTCACTTGCAAAAAAAGATAGCAACATGAAATGTGTTATATTACAGTTTGATTATACTCAGTTACTGGGCAGATTTTTAAAACTTCATCAATAGAAATGATCTCAGGTTCAATATCCTAGATGAAAAACACAGATTGCATACAGTTACTTAGAGTGTAAAACACATGAAACCATACTGTATCCCGCTACAGCTACCTAATCTCTGCATAAAAGAATTACAAGACCATCGGGGGAAGAAAGCCCACCTATCGGGGGAATGGCACGTGATGGGGAAGGGACTGTGGCTGGAGCGAGGCACCAGCCATGTCTGAAATGTTTCCTTTCTTGACCAAACAAAGGAACTGAGACAAGTACGGAAAAATGTTAACATCTGGTCATCTGAGTGGTAAACACTATTGTCAATGAAATTACTTTGTGAATGCATGAAATGACATAATTTGAAATATTTCTGATAGAACATTATAATGTTTTCAAAATAAAGTTAAAATTCAGTTTAAGAAAAGCGTATTGGCAAAATGGAGGAAGTATTGACATCTGTAGTCAACTAAAATCTGTTCTGTGTTGTGTGCTTTGACAGACATTGATGAATGTGTCACAGGAACACACAACTGCAGAGCGGATCAGGTGTGCATCAATTTACGGGGCTCCTTCACGTGTCAGTGCCTCCCAGGGTACCAGAAGCGGGGAGAGCAGTGTGTAGGTAAGAACCATAGTGTCAGAAGCTAAGTCTGGTCTTCAGCATCTTCACCTTATAAGCAAAGCACTCGTGCTTATTTGGAACATGGCAACAACTTCTTGCATTGGCTATCAATCTATTTTCCAACAAACAAGAACTAACCTTAAAAGTTGAGTCTATCCTAAAAAGTCAAAAGCAGTAACCTGGAGTATAAATGGATCCATGAAAATAACCAAGAAAATTATTTCAGATTAGAGGGTATCGCACTAACACACTGGTGACACGGGCTTCACTCGCTGTCAGATAGCATCACGCAGCATGTAAGGCAAATGGTCAGTTTCAAATATCAGCTCAACCCCTAACTCATTTACAATCCTGAGGCAGGTTACTTAAATTCTCGGTCTCACCCTGTTCACTTGTCCTGTGGAGGCCACATCAGTCCCACCTCAACAGACACTCGCACACGGGAGTGTCAAGAGCACACTGGCCCTCGGCCACACAACTGTTAGCACACAGTGAGTTGGCAGAATCTGAAGGCTCTAAGCTGCAAAGTGTGCTGGGTGCTGAAGTGCAAAGCAAAATACATCATCTGTCTCACTCAAGGGTCTGAAAGTGTCAGCTCCCTGAAGGTAAGGGCGCGTCAGCTTGTGTCACTGCGCTTACTCTCTCTTGTCCCCAAGTGTGCGTACCATGTGATGGATGTACATCGTGAATGAATGCAGGACACAGTATGAGGAGGGCAAGTGGCACGTAGTGAAGTGGAATGAAGCTCAGTGGCTCAATCATGAAATGCTGCAATGGGCATGGAACTGACTCCCTCTGTCCATTGATTTAGGTACCAGCCCTAACCACAGACTGGTGAGAGGCCACATTTTCTCTTAAGAACAGTCAGTTAGGACAGGTGGACAGGCCCCTAGCATCATTTTCACCAGAAGGTGTAAGCTACTAACATTAGGATGTTAACACCGACTTCTTTGTGGGCCCTCATCCAGCTCCGCCTGCCGTGGGACTGTTCCTAGATGTGGAGGTTGGTTTCCAGCCTCAGAGAAAGACCCACAGGTTGTAGAGCATGGAGCCAGGATTTAGAAGACTGCTTTGAAAGCTGCATAGATACCCAGTGTTTGCCCATTGTGTAGTAAGAAAAGTAAACATGGGAGGGGAGCTAAAAAGTTCAGAAAAAAATCCTCCTGTTGTACAGTGAACTGAAGAGAAGAGAATACATGATCAGAACCCTTTGGGAAAAAGTAGGAAGAGACCCTTTTTTTTTTTTTTTTTTTTTTTAGTACAGTGTCTACAGGTCTCACCACATAGATCAGACTACTAGTAATCCTCCTGTTTCAGCCTCCCAAGCGCTGGGATTACAGGCGTGTGCCACTACACCCAGTCTCAGTCACAGTCTCAGTGCGCCCCAGGGGTAGGGCCTGCACGGCACACAGGGGAACACACCCCGGCTGCTGTACTCTGCCTAAGCAGGCACTTTAGTCTGCTGAGCTATCTGGCTAGCTCGGAAGAGACCATAAACTCACATCCAATCTCATGTCTGCCCTGGTGTTCCCCTTACCCACAGAATCAAATCCACATTCCTCAATAGAGGATAAAAGGTCATCCTCATTCTGATCTTTTTCCAACTATTTCATCAGCATCCCCCTCCACAAATTGTGTTCCATTTCTGTCCCACTACTTACATATATTTGGTTTCACACTTCAGTGCCTCTGTAAGAGCTCTTTCCAGCACCAAAGAAAGACATCCTCTCCTACAAAACTCTTCCATTAGCAACTCCTAACTGTCACCTCCTCTGGGAAGCTTCTATGATCCACTCAAATAGTACTAGTTACTCCTTCCTTGTCAAAATATGATGAATTTTTTTTGGTAAATTTCTAATCTCTATAGACCAGTATCTCTGCAAAGTATAACAAAAGTGTGTGCTGATATCAAAGTGCAGTTTCTAAACATGTATGCTCCTGTGTGTATTTGTTGTAGATGTGTCTGAAGTGTCCATGGTGAGGCAGCAGTCAGCAGGCCACCCCCTGAGCAGCACCATGCCCTCTGTCCCTTGCACCTCTTTCTACTTTCCAGCTTACCATTCTATGGAGTAATTTTCTTCCTGCCTGTCTTTCATGCTAGACAGATATGTACATGTGTGTATTTATATCCTGCAATGCCAAACACGGTGCTATCAAAAAATGGTTTGGTGAATGTTTATTGTGGCAAATGAGACTGAATGAGACACCTATCTACATAATCATTCATTCATAGAATATTTATTGAAGTCTGACTATGTGCTGGGCACTGTTCTAGATGTTAAACTATAGTAGTGTAGATTATACATTATTATAGCTCTCAGAGAGTTTTGAGAAAGTACAATTTATACAATTTGGCTGTCAATACTAGCACCTAGCCATAATATGCAGGACTAGGAAGTACAATGCTAAAATTACTCTTAATTAGGAGCCAGGGAAATGGCTCAGTAGAATAAGCGCTTGCCTGATAAGCACAAGTGTCTGAGTTCAGTCCCTGGTTCCACCCCCCCCCCAAAAAAATTATTCTTAATTATCATCACTTCCATTCATTCAAATAATGTTTATTGAGCACACACTATGCCAGCTCTTGTTTCAACTACTGAGCATTCAGAAGTGATCAAACAAGAATCTCTCAGCTTCTACCTCAAGGGGAGAAGATATGTCTTATTTACCAGGTAGTATAGTGAGGGAGATGAGACAAGAAGAAAAGTAAATGCACAAAACAATGTCCAAGAATATACAAGGTATATATGTCAAGGTATACAAGGAAATCTACAGCAGAATAAGGAAAAAGATAGAGCAGAATAAATGATATGGTAGAGCTGGCCTTCCAAGGAGGTCTGGACCCCTGAACAAAGGGCCAAGGCCATGTTCATACCTTGATTTGTTACAATATGTGAATTAAAGACATCGTCTACCTTGCTAATAAGCCCCATGTATTTTTTACTAGCTATGTTCTAGGAATTTTAGCCTATCTTGTGTCATGTAATCCTTCCAACAGATTTATGGTATTATTGCATTACTTCTGGAAGAGGAAATGAAAGCTTGGGCAGTTAGAACCAAGCTAGTAATTGCCAAAAGAGCCAAGCTCAGGTTCCCTTGAGGCCATGTAAGCTTGTGGCCTCCCACTAGAAGAACCACATAGCCCAACATAGTCTTCCTTCCACTTGTTTTACCTGAAGGCAGTGTCATGGTATAGTTTCACATTGTAGGTGCATACTTGTTAAATTACACGTTCCATGTTAGAGTTGTTACAAAGTGACAGTCATGAATTAATGACATTTTATTATGCTTATAAGACGTTAGTACTTCTCTACAAGTTCTTGGTTGAGCATTTTATGGTTGGAAATATTTATCTAAGAAAGACACACAGGCTGGAGCACTTCATCAGTGTCAGAAGGCCGCTATCAAGAGGTCACTTGCTCGTGTCCTTTCCTTCCACAGTGTTCTTTCTTTGACTTCCTAAGATACACATGGCACGCCTTCCTACACATCCTGCAAAATGCTGAGATACTGAATGTTTCAGGGGCTTAGTCACCAGCTGAATACAGCCCACATTGATTCTCCTAGCTTGTACCTCATCACTCCATTCTTTACTCCACTCTTCGTTCTTTCTACTTGTGCCTTTTTAAATAAGTGCTGGTCCAGCCAAGCTGGTACTCCCATATGTATGGGAAGCAGGCTTGCTTGCCTCTCTTTAAGTCTCAACACACCCAGCTGAACTGATTTAGCACTGAGCATGCTTTGCCATAAGTCTTCATTCTTAGCATCCCAACGGGATGCTGGCCATAGTATATTTCAAACGCATATACCCTAACCTTAACGAGAGACACAGACAGAGACAGGGAAAGCGACACAGAGACTTAGAGAGACAAAGAGTGAAACAGAGAGGCAGAGACAAAGGAATGAATGAGAGCATAAGTTATTTTCCAGTGATGTCTTCCCTAGATAAGCTTTCTAGATAGGCTCTACTGAGAACTTGGTGAGTCAATAATACGGTTCTCCGTGTGCCCAATCCCCTAGACATAGACGAATGTGCAGTGCCTCCGTACTGCCAACAAAGATGTGTGAACACACCAGGCTCATTTTATTGCCAGTGCAGCCCCGGGTTTCAGTTGGCGGCAAACAACTACACCTGCGTAGGTAAGCTTTCGAGACCTGCCACCCCCCTGAATTCTTTCTTCAAGGAAAGGTACCCATATGTCATGGTGCAATATTTCCAGTTTTCAGTGTTTCTGAGAGAACTGGTTTTCATCAGCTTCCCTTAAGGAATCGTAAAGCTGAAAAGACAGCAACTAATCAGTTTCTTGAAACATATCAAGATGTGAATGGAAACCTTGGTTTCACTTCTCTGTGGGTATATAAAAACTTCTTAAGCTAAAGATCAGTTGATATACACACACCAATTAGTCAACAGGGTATGATATAAATGCTGAAGGTGCCAAGGGGGTTATTGGGAGCTCAAGTACATAAACTTTCTGCTGAAAGCGCATCTGATTTTTACATGCCTCTTCTCCCCTTTCAGAGTGCAATGTCACGGTGCACAATTATAAGATTGGCATGAGATGGAAAGAATCTAGCACAGGAAGAATGCCTTTTCACAATATTTTCAGTGCCTTAGAGCATTGCAAAACTCTGCATGGGTCTCTGAGGCTTATGTTATAATTGTAATGGAATTTAACAAAAACCATTTAAAAAGTAATAAATAGCACATATAAATCTCCACCACAGCATGCTGAGAGACCGTATCAGCGTGCGTGTCATATAACAATTATTTATGACTTGGCATCTTGAAGCTGCAAAACAAAAGAAAAATAGATATTGGAATGTATATTTATTAGAAGCATTAAATTCTTTTGAGAAGATTTATCAAACATCAAACTAACTGTCATTCCTTAAAAACATTCTGGTATTTCTAAAAAGAATGACAGACCTTTGAGGCTGTTCCCACAAATAAGAAACTGAATGGATGTTCTCCAGTGAGCTTCTGCGGGGCAAAGAAATCAACGAGGGAATTACTTATCATCAGATGATATAGACCAAGGATGTGTTTGAATATATAATTTATTTTTTGAATATTGATAGAACCTTTCTTTCAGATATAAATGAGTGCGATGCCAGCAACCAGTGTGCGCAGCAGTGCTACAACATTCTTGGGTCATTCATCTGTCAGTGTAATCAAGGATATGAGCTGAGCAGTGACAGACTCAACTGTGAAGGTGAAATAGTTTCCAAATAATGTGTAATAAGATTCTATCCTTGTAAGTGGTGTTGTTTTCTCTGCTTATGTACCTGTTGCTGAAATCAAAACTTTTTTAGGGTTTTTTTTGTTTTGTTTTTTTTTGGGGGGGGGCAAGGTCTCACTACGCAGCTTGAACTCTTAGTGTTCCTCCTGTTTTCAGCCTCCCCAAGCAGTGTGGTGCCAGGGATCGAACCCCAGCCCCTATGCTTACCTAAGCAGGTGCTTAGTCCACTGAGCTATTTTGCCAGCCCTGATGAAAACAAATTTTTAATTCACTGAAATTCTGATCTACAGTCTAATTAGTGTTGTTATAACCTGGGCTTTTTAATATGTTACCAAAAGAAAAGAGAAAAAGCAAAGTAACTTAAATATTTGATCCAGTCAGGGGCTAAGCATTACAAATCGTGCTCTAGAGTCTGGCTTCTTCTGGAAGCCTCTGGACGATCTAGAATTTCATACCTCAACGAAGGCTTCCTGAGTCAGAATGTACTGTTTAATAAGATGCTGTGTGATTGATGTGCACATTTATATTTGAGGAGAGCTGAGAACATTAGTAAAAACTATTCCAATAAAAAAAAAGAGCTAGGCATGGTGGCTGAGCAGAACTCAGGAGGCTGAGGCAGGAGAATAGCCAAAAGATCAAAGTCAGTTTGGGCTACATAGTGAGCTCAAGTCTATCCTGAACTACATAGCAAGACTCTGCAGAGGGGGAGGAACGGTGGAAGGAAGGAGAGAGGAAAAGAGGGAGGGAGGGAGAGACACAGAGAGAGAGAGACAGATGGACAGAATATGAATCTGTGCCTATCTCTGTTACTGCACTGTGTGACTTGGGTACATTCCTTAAATAGCCAGAGTTTCACATTCCATGTTAATAAAGAGAGGTCCATTCACCTGGCTGGATAAACTTTATAGTTGATTTCTGGAATATAAGTCTAAAGATGCAAGACATGAAGGGAATACCATCCAACTGTGACATGCCTGATTTTCTCATGATCCCTCCTGGTTTGCTGAAGGCCACAAAGCTAGAAGGCCTTGTATCATACCAATGTGCTTAAAACCAGGAGGGGGTGGCCTGGGATCGATATCTCTGCTATTTTGGAGCAAACTCTGGGAATATACCTATTCTGAAACACAAAAGTTTTCTTCCCCTGAAGACCAGATCTTGCCGAGATATCACTTCTCAAGACCTCCAGGGATGGGATCTGGAGTTCCAACCCACATGAACTCAGCCATGGGGGTCACCCAATTTCTGCAAAGAGGAGCATGAATCTCCATCCTGGGTGGGTGTTTAAAGCCTCAAGTAAAGAGTGTCAACCATAAGCCCATTTGTTTAACCTGCTCAACTAGTGTAAGTAGATTCAGGTTCAGCCAAACTGTCAGCATTGATCCATTAAAATTGATGTTAAGAAGATTTGTGCTCTGAAGCCAGAGGAAAAAATAAACTACGCCGTAAGAATTGACCCTTGAGTTTCTGATAATCATCTATTTCTGATTTAGAACTTATAATGTTTTTACTCTCAACAGCTCATTTAAAAATATATTACCAAAGCAGTGACATGAAACCATTTGAACTTTGTGTCCTTGCTGTTTCCTGATTCAACAGACATTGATGAATGTAGAACCTCCAACTACCTATGTCAGTACCAGTGTGTCAATGAACCTGGGACGTTCTCATGTATGTGCCCCCAGGGATACCAAGAAGTAAACAGAATATGTCAAGGTAAGTGACTGTCTTCAGGGCTGCGAAGTGTTCTGTTTTAAGCAGGAAAATACGGAGGATGTTACAGGATTCTCTACTGTAGAAATCCATTTTGCCCACATTAAATATATAATTTGAGCTCTCCTGGTTTATAATTAATTAACGCACATAAAGAGGAGATTCTACTGAGTTTACACACCTATAATATTCAAATAACGGAACTTAACAAAAAAGAGCATACAGATGAATGTCCAGTTTGTATCTGTGTATTCAAAGTGGTTGGGATAGAGAGATAGTTACATTCTATTAATGAATAGAGGGATTTGTTCTAATGGTGTTTGTAAATAGGATATCATGTCCGCATCTTGTACAGCAATTAACCACTAGGAAGAATGTATACAATGTGTTAATTACTGAAACTGTCCTATCAATTTGATTTGAA